CGCTCTTTCTTCACTACAAAGCTTCGTCGGTGTAGGCCTTGGTTTGGATCAGGACGACGACTCGGCGAGTAACGAGGCTAGCTGATGATCTTGGGCGTTGAGTGAAGGACTGCTGTCAAGTTTAAGAGTGCAGACCCGGTCCATGACCCGACCCATTCATCCCCTTCGTTAGGTTTGAGAGCGAAGCCCCCATATTTTCTTTTCATAGATTTCACTGCATTTACATGCAGAATGATGTTGTCGTGGAGTGAGAGAGGTGAGAAGTTCACAAACACACCGGTTTGCTCTTAACTGACCAGCCAAAGCTAAGAGAAGTAGAGAATGAGAAGTGGGATGCTCTTGAATACCGTGTTAGAAGCAGCAGGTCGAAAGGGGCGCTCAAAAGCAGCTAAAAAAGCGGACGTTTTGAGCGATTAACATCGAAATCACTGAGAGCAACAACCATCATTTCAATTGTCTGAGTCGTCCATTGAGCAAACTCGGGCGAGATGGCATAGATCGGCGAGCGAGCTGAGCTGAGATATCAACACCATCTGAAACCGAAAGCCCTTTCTCTCTCTCTTATGCTAACCATGTTTGACTGTTAAATGTTTTGGGGGAGGATTGAAATCAATAGGAATTAGGTGGAGGGTGGCCTTGAAGAATCATTAGCTGAGAGATCTCGATCTTCAATGGCAAGATGGACAAGAGTAGTGTCCATGATGTTGTGCTTGTCGGAGGATCCACCTGTATTCCCAATCTGGTCTTGATGCATGCTGAGAGATCTTGATCTTCAGAAAAGGAAAAAGAATGAGGACTTTAAAAAAAAAGAAAAAAAAATCTTTGGGGCTCTTTTAGGGGATGACATGATGGCTTTGTGTTTGTGGGGGGTTTTTTGGAAAAGCCTAAAGAGGTTCTACGTTTCTGCAGATTCATGGTGAAGTGTGGTGAGGTCTCACAGTGGTGAGATGGAACAATGAAAGAGAACCGACGTAGCTTTTCGTGTCGATTCCCACAGACGGCGCCAAATGTTGATGCACAAAATCGGAAGGGTCTTGGAACAACGTAAATTCGATCGTGAATTTGCAAGAAAGTAAAGAACACAAGATGTATCATGGTTCACCCCAATGTTTGGGCTACGTCCACACTGATATTGTATTTCTCTGTTTGTGAGAGGATTGTGAGGGAGAGAGAGCTTGAATATGAGAGTGAGGCTTTGCTCTGAATCTCAGAGCTTGAGGATTGTGAGGGTGAGGAGGCCATTTTATAGACTAAGGGCTCCTCCCATTTTTACATATTTGCCCCTTCATTTATTACATAATTACCCTTGAGTCCCCCGAGTATTTATACGAGGTCTAAATATGGAGGCCCTAAGTATGGTACAAACAAAATTAAATAATTAAGACAATAACCTTGTTTGGGAAATTGTGCAAGGTGAGGGTCATTGTTCGAAAATGTGTATATATATATATATATATATATATATATATATATATATATATATATTTGGCAGCACTACGATATGGTTAAGTTTTGAATTGCATCAAGGCATGTCCATAAGTATATTATTGAGCACAATTATTATGAACGCTTCGAAGTGCAAGGTGAACGCAGGATACCCAGGTAAGCTCAGGTAAGTTTATGGTATTAGTTGAAATGATGGAGTTATAACATGACTACATGCATGTTTTAAGCAACTTTGACATTGTCGTACGGGTTGCCCATGAGTCGTACATGTTATGTTGAGATACATTGAAAGCTCATAAATTTGCACCCCGGTGATAGTGCTCCCGCCCATGGCCAGGGCACAGTCCTTCACGTGATGTTCACCTTCCGCTCTTTACGCTCACCTTGGATCCAAGGTAGGTGCACAGTCATGTCGTATAAACCACTATAGGTGGTTCCGACTCGTAGGTGACCTACGATTATTCGCACAGTCTTCACATGATCGTAGCACTTTAGCATATTTATTTACATCCAGTCCTGTCGTACAGACCACCTTAGGTGGTTCCGACTCGTGTGCAGGTATACTTATTGAGCTATAGATAAGTCGTACAAGTCACTAGAGGTGACTTCGACTTAGGAGCTAGCATATATGATGAAATATGAGATGAGCTAGCATATGTGATGAAATATGTGATAAGCTAGCATATATGATGAAGATGTGATAAGCTAACATATATGATGAAGATGTGATGAGCTAGTATATATGATGACATATGTATATGATGAAATATGTGATAAGCTAACATATATGATGAAAATGTGATGAGCTAGTATATATGATGAAATATGTGATAAGCTAACATATATGATGAAAATGTGATGAGCTGGCATATGTGATGAAAATGTTATGAGCTAGCATATGTAATGAAATATGTGATGAGCTAGCATATATGATGAATATGTGATGAGCTAGCATATTGATGAATATGTGATGAGCTAGCATATATGATGAAATATGTGATAAGCTAGCATATGTGATGAGATATGTGATAAGCTAGCATATATGATGAAATGATGAAATATGTGATGAGCTAGCATATGTGATGAAAATGTTATGAGCTAGCATATGTGATGAAATATGTGATGAGCTAGCATATGTGATAAGATATGTGATAAGCTAGCATATATGATGAAGATGTGATGAGCTAGCATATGTGATGAAAATGTTATGAGCTAGCATATGTAATGAAATATGTGATGAGCTAGCATATATGATGAATATATGATGAGCTAGCATATATGATGAAATATGTGATAAGCTAGCATATATGATGAATATATGATGAGCTAGCATATATGATGAATATGTGATGAGCTAGCATATGTGATGAAATATGTGATAAGCTAGCATATATGATGAAATATGTGATGAGCTAGCATATGTGATGAAAATGTTATGAACTAGCATATGTGATGAAATATGTGATGAGCTAGCATATGTGATGAAATATGTGATGAGCTAGCATATGTGATGAAATATGTGATGAACTAGTATATGTGATGAGATATGGGTAAGTCGTACAGGTCACCATAGGTGACTCCGACTTGAGTGCTAGTATGAATTATTAATCACATGATTATTTGATATTGCTGACGAGATACTGTGTTATGGTATATTTATGATTTTTCTGAAAATTATACAAATGTTGTAGTGAGGGGTTATAATGTTTTATATGGTTTCTATTACAATTTTATTTACAGGGCCACTCACCCTTGTCTTGTCTTCACCCTCCAGGTTTTATTAGCTGAGCATTCTTATCATCGAAGATTCATGGCGATTCTTAGTATTAGAGATTATTTCGACGGTACGATTCTTAATTCACTATTATGTACTTGCTTATGCTTTAACGTCACGTGTGAAGCGGGTTCAAGCCCGCTCACTGGTGCACTATGGTATTTAGGCACTTTTAGGTTTAAATTTATTCACATTTTTCCACATCATCACACTCTATGGCTTCGTCACCTTCCAGGTGTTAACCAGCACAACTTGATTCGGAGTCCTAGTGGACATTTCGGGTCGGGGTGTGTCATACATCATAGCCCTAGCTAAGGAAAATTAGTACCGAAACAAAGATGAAATTGTCACTGAATTCATAACAAGAAAAATGAAAATTAGGTTTAGAAAACCCTGTAAAACCCCTTTGCTTTGTTGCAGCATTCTTCCATATGTCTCAGCTTCCATGCTCTGTCATTCCTTTCCTTCTTTTCCCCTATTACGTTTCTGTAACCAACTAAAGCTTAACCCAATTGATTGATGGCAGTAAAAGAGAAGAAACAGTAGAAATCTTCAATTTGTGCTGGCCACTCTTTGGTACATTAAAGCACCCAAATGAATTATGCATTTGTTAACATTAAGCTCATGCCCTTGATCTCCTTGCTGCTACTTTCCCTTTGTTTTAATAACTCTTTCATTGCCATTAATAAATCCATTTATATATGCAATAGCCAACTCTCTCTCTTTGATGCCTTCACTTCACTCCAAAATCATAATAAAAGAGAACACATACCACATTTGTACTTTTATGGATTGTGGGTGCATGTGCTTTTTCTGGATTTTTGGTTCTCTATTACCTAAATTTACTAGAAATTTAAATTATTTTTATTGTTTAACATTGTAGTATGTGTTTTGTGTCGAGTTTGTTGTGATAACTGTATAGGATAATTGCTAAAGACAACAGTAGTCCTAGTCCGTTAGGTCCTTATGCACAAAATTTCATGACCCCCAATATTTGGTTTCGTAGCTTCCCTTTGAAAGGTTAAAGTGAAGGCATGCCTTAAATGGGAACTCATCTGGTGGTGAAGAACCAGATTCAATGAGAAGGAATATGAGGAAGAAGAAATGGCCCAAGTTTAACATTAGAAAAGAAACTGAATCACAGGCTTCACAGCCATCAAAACACAAACCATAGTTCATAACTATTGTACAGAGTAGAACTCCTACCTACCTGCAGATGGACCAGAAGAAGAAGCCATAATCGATCTCGACAGCAAACAAGTAGTAAATCTTCTACTCTTTAAGATGTATTTAAAAGCAGTTACTAAAATGTTTTTAGATTCCAAAAACACTTGCACCAAGATCCTTTTTTTTAATTTTTTTTAATTTTTATTTTTTTATGACCAAAATAGGTTATATAGAATATTCTAACAAAAAAAAAAAAAAAATCACATTTGCAAGTTGTGAATTGTCCTTGTGGTTCTAACCATTTCCCTTTCCTTATTGTAGCTTAAAATAGGAATAACACTTGTATTCAACAAACAAAAAAATCCATGTTGTGCATGTCAAGTGGATGTTAAACCTAACAAGTTCATGTGAATCAAAACACCAAAGAAACTAACCTTGTGATGCCATTCTTCTTAGCACAACAACCTTGAACTCGACAGCAGGCACACGACACCAGCGAGCACTCAAGCAAGGTCTTATGCACACTGACCACTGTATAACTCGAACCTATGGGGAATTCTTTTGAGTTGTGTTTCAGTGGCATGTGCAGGGACTAGGCTTAGTATTTATACAATTTCATTTGTACAAAAATTTATTTGAATTTTAAATGTATAGAACAAATCAAAAGTGTAATACCAAGTACCATATTCATGATGAAATATAAAAGTGTACAAGCTTCCATAACCTAAGGAGTGGTTTCAAGGAACGGATAATCAGTGTAGCCAATAAGCGGTTCAAACGCGTAGAATGTCTCTCTGTTGTACTTGTTTAGAGGAGCATTAAGCTCAAATCTCTTTGGCAAATCCGGATTCGCCAAGAAAATACGGCCATAAGCAATAAGATCTGCACGGCCCTCGGCCACGCCATTGTTCCCTTCTTCCTTGTCATAACCACCAGCAGCAATGAAGGTACCATTAAAAGCCTTTCTCATGGGTACAAGACTCTGGGGGCAATCACTCTTTTCTCCAATTGTCTTCATCCTCGGCTCAACCATATGGCAGTACACAATCCCGTACTTGTTCAATGAATTGGCCAGATAAAGGCCCAACGCTTCAGGGTCTGAATCCCCTGATCCCATATAGTTGGCAAATGGAGATAATCTAATTCCAACTTTATCCGCTCCTATCTCGTTAGCAACAGTTTCAACAATTTCCAGAGCAAATCGACAACGATTCTCCGTAGATCCGCCATATTGGTCTGTTCTATCATTCACTTGATCTTTCGTAAACTGATCAATAAGGTATCCATGGGCCCCATGAATTTCCACTCCATCAAAGCCTGTATATCAGACAAATAATTTCAGCGCACCAAATATTATTTGTAATCTAACATTTTAAATGAGGCATGCCGTTATAATGTAAGGTTAGTTAACATGTAATCTAACGTGAACTATTGTCACACACCTCAAACTGCAAATTATATTCATGCCTTTTAACTACATTTGTAAGATTACACATCGTGCTTATGTTGAAAACAATTTTTTTGTTAAACGATAGATTTATTAGATTAGAGAGACGACGGGGTTCGAACCCATGCCGTAATGCAAGGGCAACACTTTTCTCTACCACTGTGGTAGAGGGCCACTTGCCGTTGAAAACAATTTTGAGTTCTCACAAATTTTATTTCATACTTTAAGTAAAGACAAATTACCAGCTTCCATTGCATTCCTTGCAGCAAGTCTAAAATCATTGACAATTTGTGGAATTTCATCTGTCCTTAATCGTCTTGGAGGCGTGAATTCAGAAACATCAATGCCATTTAATGGTACCCGCTTCTCAGTAGAAGAGATTGGAGCTTGCCCATTTGGCTGAAATCCTGTAAGATAAGAAAATGTAGATAGAATCACAATCTGAAAGATTTCTATTACAGGAATATCAAGGCAGCTCTCTGATGCTTCAATGGGCTAACTTTTCGCTTATGATCCGGACGCTTTCAATGACACAAACTGAAGTCATAAAAGTGTGTTAGAAACGCACCGGTATTTGAAACCCTCCCTACATGCAAAATCTGACAGAAGAAGATGCCGCCTTTAGCATGAACAGCATCAACAATGGGTTTCCATGCTTCAACTTGCTCCTTTGTCCATATACCGGGAGTATCTGTGTACCTTCGCATATTAAAGAAACAAAAATGTTGTCAAACTTTGAAATGAAGAAAGTACACATTTAAATGTATGTTTTCCATTTAAAATTTGACATAAAAGAAACTTGAAAGAAGCTAATCTTGGTGAAGTTACCCTTGAGCTGTGTCAGAAACTCCAGTGGCTTCAGTTATGAGAAGACCCCCGTTAGATGTTCTCTGGGAGTAATATAAGATCGCATGCGGCCGAGGAACATGTCCGTATGATCTTTGTCTACCCATTGGTGCTAAGACAACTCTGCAGAAGGCAAGGAAGTATTATGACAAGTTTGATAGGTGTTAATATAACTAGCCCCTTGAAGTATTATCAGATCTTGAACAGAACAAAATTTAAGTAATACGACGAAAACGCCAGAAAGGAGATGTACTTTTCCTAGCCAAGTGCCTCTAATGATGAATTAGGTAATTTCAGGTCAAGATCAAGTACTAACTCAGGTGTGATGAGTGCTTCAGAGTTCTAGGCATCATCTATGCATATATTTGCTTTCAAGATCTGGGGCTTACAACGAATTTCAGTAACACCTGTCCAAGTTTATTTTCTTTAAGAATTGACTAATTTAGTTGCTAAATATGTTTCCAAATGAACAAAACCCAACTGCCCAAATCTCAGCTTCTCTAGCAGAATACAAATTAAAAAACGAAAAAAAAAAAAACATAAAAATCAATGCAGAATGTTGAAGAATATGTTGTAGAAAAGGTTGAGCGACTGAGTTTAAGGTACCTATGAGAAAGATTGAAGTTTCCAAGTTTGTATGGGGTAAGGAGAGGGCTTATGGGACCACCTACTTGAGTTTGATTAGCCATTTCAATTCAACTGGGTTCAGAGCTAGATGCTACTTTTGTGTTTGGTTTTTTATTTGATTTGATTTAATCTGCATGGATATTTATACGGAATGAGGATCCTCTTTGGATTATTTTTATAGGGATTTTAGAGATCCTCCAATCACGTATGTTTATCGTATATTGTGCAGTCATAAATTATTGTAAATTTTATTATTTAAAATTAAATATAGATAGTACCGAAAGAAAACTGATCGTACGATATACAATAAACTAACGTGATTAAAAGATATCCGGTTCCTCATAAATAGAATCCGGAGCCTCATTCATTTATACGTTCGGGGAGAGGAGGAAGAGAAACTCAAAAGCAACACTAGCACCAGCACAGTCCCCTTCTCCTCCACCTTCCTCCTGGGAGGCAGAGGCAGTGGTGGGCGGGGGGCTCCTTTTTCAAGGGACACCACCAATAATGTCTGCCAATTTGGACACCACCAACGACCATTTGACCAGGAAGAAGTACCAAAGTAAAATTGGCAGTTCTTTAACAAAATACTCAAGTTTGTAATATTTTAAACTAGTGCATTTTTAATTGTAATTATTTTTGTTTAAGTTCATTTATTATGCTCTAAATCACAAAAATAATAAGCATTTCAGGAACATCCACATGCATATGCATTCATATAGTCTAGGTTTGTGTTCAGTGGGCTATTTAATTTTGACTTAAATTTTGAGTTGTATTGTTCATTAAAAGAAGATTATTGGGTTTATTTGTATAATTAATGTTAGGAATACTAAATTTTTAAACAAAATTTACAAACCAAATGATATGTTATTAATAAAAAAAAAGCATGTTAATCAACACTTAATTAATAATTCAATCATCAACAGCCACATCATTTGGTTTACAAAATTTATTTTAAAAATTTGTCTCCCTAACATTACCCTTTATATTTTGGGAGTTTTAACGAAACACTCCCGGTACTATTCACTTTTAACGAAAATGATATTTTTACTCTAAAAAGTCACTCCTTGTACTATTTACTTACAACACATTTTTGTCATTTGATTAAAATTTAAAGTTTTCAAGCCATTTTCATTAGTTTTTTTTTTATATTTTAGCTAGCATCGTATTCGTGGTGCCGCATAACCTACCTAACTTTTGTTTTCTACAAATTCAATATGGTGATAATGTCCTTGTGGATTTTCATCTTTATCCTCACTTAGTTATCTAATTATATCTTAAATGATAAGTGATTAGGCCTTATCATTTTGTGGCTCACGTGTTTTCAAAGGGAGAAGAGAGTCTAGAATTTTATAATGAGGGGATCATAATTTTGGCCAAATTTTTTTTTTGGATTATTTTGTTGAGTTCTTAATTGGTACCTACCGGATTATGGTGTGTTCTGTCCATTTTTGTTGAGGCCTTGTCAAGTGAGACATTTTATCAAACGTAACATGCGAACCGTAGGGTCGCACACAAGAAATAGGGGATGAAAGACAATAGAAAGAAAGAAGTAAATTTACAAATAACTACACATAAAGTTGCATGAAAGAAATAGCAGATTGTAATTTAGTGTTTTTACTCATTCTTTTAGTTTATGTATGTATGAGTCATATACAAATACAGATTGAGACTATAAAACTATTAAGGTCATGAGCAGCCAATAACTCATGTTGAATCGGCGACTAAATAGTGGGAATCCCTTATTCGAGCAAATTTACAACCTACTGTATAAAATATATTTATTCGTTGGCAAATTCAACTATGAACTAATTAATTCCAAAAGTCCTAGCTGGTGGGCGTCAAAAACTACCTGCTATTTGTTTTGTTTTCTTCCCCCCAACCCACCCTAACCGGACATCTGTATCCAATTATACGATAGCCCAGTGCACGTAATTGACTGCTTAGCTTAGATGTAGTGTTTCCTTTCCTCCGACCCTCACCGTCACGAGAAGGACTCGAGTGTGGCCACTGTTGGTGGTAGGTTTGGGCGTTGTGTGAGAGGGGGTGAGACGCAAATAGGGCTGAGTAGACATAGAAAAATTAGATTCGAAAAAAAAAAAAGAGTTTTTAAACATTAATCCTTGCAAAAGATTAAAATTTAAAAAAAAATTTAGTGCTAGATTACATATTCAATTAATTCCTTGAAGTGTACTTTTATCAAAATTTATATTCAATTTTTGTTATTTAATGTGTATTTTTATTTAATCTCTCCACATTAAATTTTAATTATATTAATATGCACATATTTAGTTCTTTAATTATAAATGAACATAAATGAGAAAGTATTAAAAGAAATTTGTGATACAAAAATATATAAATACATAAGTGTACAAAAATGATTGTGTCGAAATATATAAAATTGACTTTTTTGTACCGAAATAATTGTACCTACATAATTGTACCGAAATATATTATAATGAACCTAAATGTATGTACTAAAATGTATTATATTGAATTAATGTACATAAATGTCAATACCGAAATGTATGTACCAAAATGTATGTACAGAAATGTATATGCCTAAATATAGTATATTGAATTAATGTACCTTAAAGTCAATACTCAAATTAGAGGTATTAGGTTCGAATCTTGTGGATGGCGAATTCGATATCAAATTAAGTTGTCCATTGTGTGGCTTAACCGAACCCCTCTCGCCTTAGTGTAAAATATATCGTTGTACTAAAAAAAAAAAAAACTCATATGTGTGTACCAAAATGTATGTACCAAAATGCATGTATATGTTTCTATCTATGAGTGAATGTACCTATATGTTTGTATCGATGGATATACCGAAATATTCAAATGTATTAATGTACCTAAATGAAGAATATACAAAATTGTTATCAGACTATATATTAAAAAAAAATAGTTGTTTAAATGTAGACATTAAAATATATTATAATAAATGAAATGAAAATTAAATTTAAATGTAATTAATACATTAAAATAGGAATAAAAAGATAAATAAAACATCAAAATATAACTAATAAATGAGATGATTAAATGTACTAGGGATTAAAATTGGATTTTAATCTTACACAAGGTTATATTCTAAAACTCATCTTTTTTAAGGATTAAAATGAAGTTTTCTAAAAAAAAAATAGAAAAATCAGAAGGTGTTGTATAATTAGTGGGTGAATGCCCACTCAAAAGAATAAATACTTAGGAATAGTGTTTGATACTTTCAAAAGTATCATCATTGTATTTGGATGGTTGTAGTTACGGGAGTTGCTCTATAAATAGAGCACTCTGTGTGTTATCTAAATGTACACTGCGAAAGTAAGCAAAAGAAATAATATCAGTATCTCCCACCTCCTCTGGAATACTTTTGTGTTATAGTTATAGCGTGATGTTTTGCACCTCTTTGCTCTTGCCCTTAGCAAAGGTTATCTAACTTTTGCCAATTTATAACACATTATCAGCACGACTCTCTAATCTTAACTAGTTCCCATCTCCCTTCATCGAAAAAAAAAAGCTTCCTCCAAGGGTTTTCATGTTCTTCTTCCTCCTCTACCTCATCTGCATGATATACCCTTACGAAGAACTGCTACCACCATGCCTGCTTCTCGTTCTCAATTTAACAATAACTTATATCTTTGATTTCTTGTTTGGTGTAGTTCCTGATTACTAACCCAGTATTTATTTATGTTAATTTTATTGTAATCAAAGATGGTGCAGTATAATCACCCATCTTGAACTGCAAATTCAATTTCACTGCAATCAAAGATGGTGCGATACAATCGCCCATCTTGAACTGTAGATTTAAATTTTATCGTAATTTTAGGTGGTGCAGTATAATCGCCTACCCTACCTTGCATATTTAAACTACTCTGCATATTAAAATTTTCCTTATGTTGAAGTGGTGTGGTATAATCGCGCATCTTATGCTTACTTCAATGAGAATGGCGAGGTACAATTGCCCTTCTCATTAATCATGTAAATCTTTAGCCTGAAGTTTCGAGTGCTTATCATTTTAGCCTGAAGATCAAAAATTAAAAATCTGTAAGAACCAAAAGTTCTAACACTATATTCCTCCAGGAATACATATTATTGCAAGTTCTTACACATCTCATCTTTCTTTCAGAAAAGAAAATGACGAACTTGGCAAAACTTGATTTTTTGCCCTAAACATTACTGGGAAGAACCACCTTACCTAGGTAGTGGATACCAAGATCCATTTGGAGGCAGAGAATCTAAAAGAAACAAAAAAAAGAGGAAAATAGTGCATCCTCTCAAGATCGGGTGAAAGCCATGATCTTTATCCGTCGCCACTTTGATGAAGGACTAAAGAGCGAGTACCTACCAGTTGAATATCCATTAGCTCTCTGGAAGGCATTGAGAAACAGATACAATCACTAGAAAACGGTGATTCTTCCAAGAGCTTGTTCTGAGTGGACTCACCTAAGGATCCAGGATTTCAAGTCAGTGGCTAAGTACAATTCTGCAATGTTTAGAATTAGCTCCCAGATGAAGCTCTGTGGGGAAACCATCACTGAGGAGGATATACTGGAAAAGACGTTCAACACCTTTCATGCCTCCAACATGCTCCTGTAGTAACAGTATAGAGAACGAGGCTTCACTGAATACAACCAGCTGATATCTGTGCACCTGGTAGTCAAACATTATTCCTAGAAATGAATGATGTTTCCCCCGAAATGAATGCCACATCCTCTAGTGGCAATAATCATAAACGAGGACATGGCCACAAGCGAGGCCGGTGGAATGGGGAAGGCAAGAATCATGGTATCCAGTTTCACAACCAGATTCAAAGGCAAAATTTAGGCTCAAGCTTTAAAAATGTAAATCGTCACTAAGGCAAAGCTCATGTGAACAATGCTTCTAGAAACTCTGAAGGAGCTTGCCATAGGTGTGGTGGCAATGGAC